AATTTGAAGCCTATTGATTTGGGACATGTTCCATAGGAACACACTGATCTTGATTGACAAATTCGTTGAACATTTTAGGGCCCATCGCATCCATTACCATGTTTTAATGGGTATAGTTCATTGTAACTTGTGCAATTGAGGATTCACCAACATCTGATATATGATTAACGAGTGGTTCATCATGTGTTATCCATTGTGTATAACCACTTCTAAATCCATTTTTGTAAAGATGAAATCTCACAGCTTCTCCTTCTAGAAACCTCTTATTGTCACATTTAGAACATGGGCACTTAATTTTATCTCCAACTCTTGGTTGTGAAAAGGCAAATTCAATAAACTCTTCAAACCCTTTAATAAACATGTCAGAAAGAAAACCATCATCGGCTTGTTCAAACATCCAATTACGTTCAGCCTCCATGTTGTTCAACAATGTTACATCTATATTTACACAAAAAGAAAACAAGAAATCTTCTCATTAATAGTACATATGTAACTATACACTACAATAAAGAAAGTGGTGTGCTGTCGTAGGCATCCAAAAATAGTCCTTAAATTTCTAAAACTAATGTAATAATGGTAGTAAGAGTCGATCTCACGAAAAATGTGCATTTCAACAATTTATACTTCGTATAACAATTGGGGGAGTTTTGTTTATAAAGAGATTAATCTTATTGTTGACAATGTAAATTAACGAGTTGTATTAAATCAATGAAATGAGTTTTGATCAAAGTCAACTTCCACCATTGGAGATCCATAACCATTCATCAATTTACAAAGAATAATCAATCCACATTTTCAATATTCACTGTTGGAATAAATTCATATTTCTTCTTAATTGAATTCAACGGTTAATTGAACACTAAGTAATATAGATGAATCTCATATTCTTTTTTATGCCTTTGTAATCTCCTTAGTGGCTTAATTGCTTCAAATTAAAATTCGATGACCTAATTGCAACTAGGATGGAAATTCAATAACCTCCAAAATAATTTTAGTGTTAATTACGAGATAATAAGGATCTTGTCTATCCTAGCCCCTGTTTGGTGTGAATTAAAATTAGGATTTTAATCTAAATCTAAATCTAAATCAATAATTAATTTCAACAACACATTGAAATTCACTACTTTCAACTATATATTTCATCAAATTTTATTAAAATCTATTAAAAATCTGAATTTAATCCCACAAACATGGGCTATTTATTAGTGGTGATGATTAGCACTTGTTAGTGCGACAGTGGAGCCACTGAAGTTACAATGCATTTTTATTTTTCGACCTGTATGGTTGATTAATAGGGGCTAATCAACTGGATGATAAATACATTATTCTTTTCCATATTGAATAAGATAAAACATTATGTATGTGAATACATAAATATCAGTCATTATCTTTTATTTTTATTTTATCAAGACCACATTATCGATCTTCGGGAGGTATTTTGAGTTCACAAATAACCTAAACTATGTTGAGAGGAGCATCACATTCCAATCAATGTAACAACGACTATAATAATGGGTTCCATTTACCGGGTGACATTAAGGGAGGTGTATTCAATTGAAAATTTCAATGAATTTAAAAAGTTTAGAGGTATTCAATGTAGACTTTTGAAAACTCTTTAAAAGTACTGCTATATTCAATTGAGATTTTTAAAAAGTCTCTAAAAGTTACGGTGTATTCGATTAAAACTTTTTAAAAGTCTTTATAAGTCTTGAGATATTTAAATTTTAATAACTTTAGATACTTTTATGAGTCTCCGTGGTACTAATTTTTAAGCAGAAAGTAATAAAATAAAATCTCAAAATTTGTCTTTCATTAATCACAAAATTTTGGGAGACTTTCACAAAAAACGAAGAAATTAATATGTATTTTTCTAATATTTCTGTTTCACTTTCTCTTTTACGAACATTAGAGTTATGATAAAAATTTATTTTTTTCTGTTAATTATATTAGCTTCTATTTTTCTTTTTCTCTCTCCTATTGTTTATTTCTATTTTTTATGAAAAAAATAAATTGTAATGTTAGAACTTTTTTTTTTCATTCATTTTTTTGTGAAAAATATCTATTTTGATTAAATTATAAAATTTTATTTAGACTAGTTTATAATTAAATTTAAGTATATATTTTTTATTTATTCTTTAAATGTATATTATATTA